CTGATTGATGGGATACAGAGGAGGGCCGCTCCAACCAGGGGTATCACAAGGGTGTGTGTGTAGGGAGTTCTGACTCCACCAGATGCCACCTCAAAGGGAGGTGTCACCAATGCGCTGGTGGGAAGGGGCTGTCTTCCAGATCTGGATGACCTGCTGGTCAGACAGGAAAGTGAGTTGCCTCCCTTTCCCACCCATCCAGCAGGCCCCCCAGACCTGGAAAGACCATAGCAGCCCACCCCCAATTCAGTGGCATCACCCAGTGCAGTAACAATTGGTGTCACCTTCCCCCTCCATTTATCACCTCCCATCGCACACCATACAGAATCTTTAACTGACTGTAATGGTAATATTCAAAGATATAGCCTTGTTAGTCTGTAGAATCAGTATGTAGAGCGATCTTGTAGCACCTTTGAGATTGACTGAAATAAAGATGCTGGCAGCATGAGCTTTCCTAGACTTCAGACTTATGCATCTGAGGAAGTAGACTGAAGTCTAGGAAAGCTCATGCTGCCAACGTCTTTATTTCAGTCAATCTCAAAGGTGCTACAAGATCTCTCTGTAATGGTGACAGTTGTGATGTAAAACAACAAGCAAAATTAAAATTATGCCTTTAAATTGTAATATCATATACACAGCCTAAATGCATTTGCATATACATAGTTTCACATGGTTGAAGTGAAAATTTGGTAAAAGGTGATTTAAAATTTAAAATTTTAATTTTTAAAAAAGTAAAGAAAAAAATTAATCTTTTAATTTAAAAAACAAAACCTAGGGCCTCTCCTTTCTCCTTCCACTGAGCCTCACTCCACTCAGACCATCTCTTCATCATTTTAATGGGACACAGGCAAAAGTCACAGTCCATTTCTGCCAAAAAGCAGATGTTTGGGGAGCAGTGGTGTCACCTCCTTAGGGTGTCCCCTGTTGTGTTCCACATCCGCAAACACATCCTAATGCCGACACTGCTTCTGATAGGAAAGGGTTGCCTTCCAGGTCTGGTGTGTCTGTTGTCTGGGTGCAAAAGTGAGTCACTTCCCTTTGCTGCCCAGCCAGCAGCTCTGCCAGACCCAGAAAAGCCTGTTGAAGAGAGAAGGGTTGTGTGTTTTAAACAAGTGATCCACACTGGGTGTCAAATATATTAGGTATGCCACTGTTTCCAACAGACCTTAAATCTCAGGCAAGTGCATATACAGAGATTTGCTCCTTCAAGTACTAAGGTCCCAAGCCATTTAGGGCTTTAAACGTCATGACCAGCACCTTAAATTCAGCCTGGAAATGTGTTGGCAGCCAGTGCAATTCCATTAAAACTGTTATATCGGGTTTATATGATGTTCCTGTCAGCAATATAGTTGCTACATTTTTTGCAAGCAGCAATTTCTGAGTCATCTTCAAGGGCAGGCCCATGTAGAATGCATTAGAGTAGCCGAATTGGGAAATTACCAGTACATGGACTAGTATCCTTAAATTAATTTAATTAGGCAGATCTATATCTGAGCAGATTTAGACAGTGGGCCCTTGGTATCCTTTAGGGTTTGGTTCCAGAACACACACACCCCTGGATAACAAAATCCATGGATGCTCTCAAGTCCCATTAAATACAATAGCATAGTAAAATGGTTCCCTTATATAAAATGGCAAAGTCAAGGTTTGCTTTTTGGAATTTATATATATTTAACACATTTGCAAGCCATGGATGCTTCAATCCATGGGGAAAAAAATCATAGATACAGATGCCTGACTGTATTTTCTTTGGGTGGAACTGGAGTGTGCAATGCACAGATAGGCAACTTGATTCTAAGTGCTAAGACT